ATAATGTCGAGCTGTTTGTAGTTAAGGCTTTTCAAGCAGTTCACACGAAGATTTTAGCCCTTTTGAAATAGGAGCAGTTTCAGCAAGAGGAGCACCCTACGTTTGCGTTCTTTGACGTTCCTCTCCCTCGAGCACAACCGCACTCACTTTTCTGGTTAGCAATGGTTACACCGGCGACCCCGTAGAGCTTGCTGTTTATCTGCTGGTCTGCACACTACCCCCAATCCACACACTTTCCACCGGCTAATTGTTCTCAACACAGTGTAGAGAAGACGAAATCCTGTACATACTCTTNACACACACAGTTCACTCAAAAAAATATCACCACTTTTCTTTATCTGTTTTCCGTGCGTTCACTATTTATTGTCTCACTGATGATTGCGTGTTCAGTCAATAAAAAAGCTTTGTATTTGCATTTAAATTTCTTGAAATTCACTTGTTTGTTTTCATAGTATTGATTCACCCAAACAACTGCGCACTGTGTCTTGTCAATGAGGGGAAAGTTGTACAAAAGTCAAGTACACTAATCAACTTACTAATCGCAGTCCATCTATACTTTGACCAGCCTAGTAACATCAATTGAGTTGATGATAGTAGTTTGTGCTTCCAGCAAAAGTGGCTCATCTTTGATAAAGTTTTACCAAATTTTCCTAGCTGAACAGCTGACGTTGTTGCTGATGACGCCCATGATGGGAGATCCGGAATTGGCACCACCAGAGACGTATTGTGTATTGTGTGCGAGTGATTGGCGTCTGCAAAGTGCTTTGTGCTGCAGATGGGCTGATGGCCCACTTGGCTCACATGGCTTGTTTGCTTTGGCAGCTCCGTTGACTCAGCTGAAAATGGAGACTGACAGACAAAAGCAACTACTGTTTAGCAAAATCACATGAACAAGTGATGTCTCTTCGATTAGATAGACCAAAACACATTTCACCAGAAGACACCATGTTCTGCATTGTAATGCCATGTCTGGTAAATAGTAAATGACTCTGGTAATTGCCGTGTAAAAGATTGTCGCCAGATTTGCCGCTTTACATGTGTCACACGTGTTAACATGAAGTTGGTGCTATGCAAAAGTTAATGCGCCTTCCTTGAATTGACTACTGTCTTTTTCTGTCTTATCTGGGCTGCTTCTGTTTTGCAGTGGACTTTGAAATCGGGCTACTTGACAGATCTTGGGTGATTGCGGGCGATCTAGGCGAGTTTGTGATCATTCTCGTACATAGGGAAGTTAAAACTGTCGTCAACAGCGGTAAAACGAGCTTTAAACAAACCATTTATCAAATCACAGTCAGCACTCCAGAGGGAGAAAGAGAGATAGTTTGAGTGTGAGACATTCTGCTGCAAACAATTTGACGATGACACAGTTGGTTAGTTGCGGCTAAAGACGACTCACTGCACCCGAGCTGATCATTTCGAATTGCAGAGCTTAGATCATTGATCGTTAAAAGTTTCGAAAAAAGTCTCCACTCACTGACACTTGGTGCTTGAGCTCTTGTTACCAACTTGCCAATCTCACAATGAAGTCGTATGATGAGGTGCCTGTCGTCTACGATGACTACAAGCCACCAAAGAGGTAAGATGGTGCGACCACCGAGCAAATAATGCAGTGTCACCTGCATCTCATCAGCCTGTCACCTGATTGCTAGAATCAACACCTAATCATCTCTCGCTCCCTTTCTCCCCTCTACAGTGCTGATGGCCGAGTTCACCTGAGTAATCCTCATCTGGCTGACCTTGAGTCTGACACGCTGTACCACTTGGCCCTGGGGACGAGCACGCACAACTTGGAAGACATGTTCGGCGACGTCAAGTTTGTCTGCATGGGTGGTACGGTGAAGCGGATGCACGAGTTTGCCAAGATGGTCGCCCGCGAGCTTGGTCTGGATGGCGGTGAGGGTGATGCTCCACTTGTTGATCTGACGGCTGCATCCAATCGCTACTCAATGTACAAAGTTGGCCCCGTTCTGTCCATTTCGGTAGGCAATTTGACTCTTTTTGGTGAAAATATCTTTAGCTCTTCTTTCACTCCAGCATGGCATGGGCGTTTCATCTTTATCGATACTAATGCACGAAATAATCAAGCTGGTGTACTACGCCAAGTGCACCAACGTGGTCTTCTTCCGCATTGGAACTAGTGGGGGCATCGGTGTGCCGCAGGGCACCGTGGTCATCACCCAACAGGCAGTGGACGAACTGCTTCGACCATTCTACGAGCTTGTAAGTGAACAACAAGTAAACATTTGCAGTCAATCTGATCTGATGCCTTTTCCTCAATAATAGCACATTCTCGGGAAAATAGTCCGCCGACCGACTGACATGAACGAAGAACTGATTGAAGAGCTTAAAGCCTGTGAAAACAGCGACAGAGCAACCAGCGAGTACCAGACAGTGGTTGGAAAAACGATGTGTGCCATGGACTTTTACGAAGCACAGAACCGCCTAGACGGCGCCTTCTGCAGCTTCACCCTGCAGGAGAAGATGAGCCGACTGAAGGAGATCAGTGAGGCCGGTGTGGTGAACATCGAAATGGAGGCGATCACCTTTGCGTCGATGTGCCGAAGTGCGGGCATTCCCGGTGCCATCGTCTGCGTGACACTGATCAATCGTCTGGAGGGCGATCAGGTGAACACTAGCAAGGCGTACCTGGAGAAGCTGCAGCAGCGCCCACAAGAACTGGTGCTCAAGTTCATTAAGAAGCGCCTGCAGATGATGTCCAACGGAGTGAATGGAAGCACTTCGGAGGAGCATCACTAGCCAACAACGAGTTGATCGTCATCCTCCTCTCAAGTGCTGGTCCGGTTCAATGCTGCAGCTACTTTGTAAGTGGACGACTTCTCTTCTGCACTCTTGGCAGTGTTGACTTTCCTATCGAATATTAAGCAAATAAAGATATTGCCGCCTGGTGGAGTGGCCCTGTAAGCAAACAATTTGCTAATTCAATCAGACAGATCCTCCACTTGGGACACATATCTGTCTCCTGCTAGCACCACTATCTGACGAGCAGCTAACTCGAGGTGACGTGAGCGGTTTCGATTAGCAGCTCTCACAGTATGCCAGAGTGCAGATTCCCTTTGATTAGTGCCATCATTAATAGTCTCATTACGCAACTGCGAGTCCTCTTTAGCTCAAATTAACCAGCAACTAATCCGGGTGTCGATTAATGAGCTGTCCACTGATAGGCATCACCTGAAACCTGGGAAACGCATCACATTGATCAGTACTCGTTTTTTATCTCTCTCAAACTTGTCCGTATAAAAACAATAAACTCCAATCAGCACCGTTACATTCATCCCCACACACACCAAAATGGCCCGAATGATCGTCGTCTTCCTTGCAGTGATCTGCGCCGCTGTCTCCAGTCTGGAGGCATGCAGCTCCAACTACCACTTTGACTATATCCTTTTCGCCCTCCAATGGCCCGAATCCTTCTGCGAGACGCAAAAGTGCACTCCCCACTCCGACCACTGGGCAATTCACGGCGCGTGGCCCGAAAACAAGGACGGCAGCTGGCCGCAGAACTGCTGCACAAAGAAGCCATTTGACATAAATGTGCTGAAACCCATCGAGAGCGAGCTCATCGCCGCGTGGTCCTCACTGAAGGTGGGCGGTACGAACAGTCAGTTCTGGTCGCACGAGTACGAGAAACACGGCACCTGCGCCGTCGAGTCGCCGATGATGAAGGACGAGCTGAGCTACTTCAAGTCCACCCTGGCCGCCTTCAAGGAGACGCACCTCGACCAGTGGCTGGCCAACGCCCACATTGTGCCCTCGGAGACGAAGCAGTACACACTGCAGTCCATCCACGAGGCCGTCAAGAAGGGCCTGGGCTATGACGCTCAGATTCAGTGCGTCCACTCGAAGCACCACAAGTTCCCCGTCATCTCGCAGATCAACCTCTGCCTTGATAAGACCACCCTGAAGCCATTCAACTGCCCGGCTTCGCTGCATGATCGTAGCTGCAAGACGGCCGCCATTGGATACCTTCCTTCTAAATAAATTCTCTCACCACTGTCGATTCATGTAATAAAATAAGACTCGTATTTTTTCATAAGTAAAAGACCACTTGTCAATACAACTTGATGGTTATAACTTGTAATATAATACTACTGTACATCTTTTATACACAATGTTTTAAACTACTGGTCATGAAAAAGTATTTACAGATGCGTTCAAGTCGAAACATCAGGATCATTATTACTGAGATCATAGTTCTCAATGGCGTACAGATTGTCTGTAATGGTGTCGCAGGTAGCTATTTCTATATCTATGTCTTCTTCCAGTGGAGAGTGGCGACAAAGCTCACGATCATTCAAAAAACTTTCTTCCATTGAACGGACAGTTGTGTCAATATCATGAGGCTCAACTTCTCTTTTAGGTGGACTTTTCTGGATTGTCACAAAGTATAAGAAAACTATTAGTTATTTAATATACGCAACACAAACTCAAATGCTTACCAAAACATTGCCAATTTCAGCCAATTCCATCTTTGCCTGGACATGCCTGACACAGCTGTTCTTGTGAACGTACGAAATGGCAGGTTCAAGACAGAGAGGCGATCCACAAGCACAAGGACGGTAGAGAACTTGGTAAGGATCATTGAGCACATCTGTACAGATAAAATAAATAAGTCAAAGGGGAAACATCACTGGCTTTTCAATAAACTTACGGGCTTTACAGTACTTTGATAAGGGTAAGCATCGCTGGTTGCAGGAATTGGAATCTTTTATGAAAATGCACTTTGGATACTGTGGTGTAGAAGGCTGTTCAGGTTCTTCGACAAGCGCCCGTCGAATTTCCGTAGCGGCATTTTTTACTATCTTTTCATGCCCTGAGATATTGTGGTACTTGTGCATTGCTTTAAGAATTTTGTAGTTTTCGTGTTCATTCATCTGAATGGCAATCTCTTCATTGAGTCTGGCGGTTAGATTATTCTCTCTTTCAAGTCTCAAATTGGTGTGGTACTCCTTCATTTTTTTCTTAAGCAAGTAGCGATAGTAATTGAGAAAATTGACGTACAGCGTTTGAAGTCGAAGCATTTTATCACGCAAAATATGGGCAATCTCTTCGGGTGTGTAAACGCCAGCATGTCTTAGTGGATCGTCCATGTAACTTTCGGGACTTTCATTATCAGAGTCGACTGAATCCAAGTTGAGCGTTTCAGCAAGCGTGATACTGCTGGCTTCATCTTCATTTTCTAATTTGTTTTGATATTTAATTATTGATTCATTTATCTTATCTTTCATTGACTTTGACGCCGTAATGCACTTGTCTTCGGGTAGCTCCCAATCGACTGCCTTCCGTCGGTGATCATGGTATTCGGGACAGTAGTGCTCCAGCTCTTCAAGCTTTCGCTTTATGTTAACTTCCCTCGGAGTGTCGTTACTCGCAGTGAATGGCATTAAAGCGGACAGCTGCTTTTCCATAGAAGCCTTTTGTTCCATGAGCCCTTTCTTTTTAGTATGCCACTGGCAGAGGCCTGAATCTCTTCGATCAACTCGTTTAACCGCATTGGAACAGCGATTGCCGGTGATACTGCTGGTATACTTGCAATAACTAAAAGGCGCGTTTTTGTCGTTTAATATGTGACGAATGCAAAAGTTGTAACCTTCAAGGCGGTTCTGCGTACAATGGCGAAAGATGTAGCGGCAGAAGTTATCTGTGGGGCACTGACGATTGGGGAAGAGTTGACTTAGAATGGTTTGGCGATTGAGAAGAATTACGCGGTTGTTGCCGAATAGTTTATATTGCAGTGCTTGCGTTTGCTGCTGCTGTTGTTGTTGCTGATGCTGTTGAGACTGACGGCTAGTCGCTGGAAAGTAGACCTGATTGTTGTTGCTGCTGTTGCTGCTGTTAGTCAGGCTGGGGCGCGTTAAGGCTATGGAGGAGACAGGTGGCATCGTGGACATGGTGAAACCTGGTCACCGAGGAGATGAGGTTCTTCAGCTGATGGTGCCAAGCGCTGAAAGGCTGCAGCCGCAATGGAGGCCGCCAGAACAGAATTGGCCGCAAAGCGAGAAAAAAATGTGACTCAGGCGGGACGGCTACAGAGCCCATTCACAGAAGACGTGTGAATCGTCGGGAAAATAACAAAACGCAACGTTGCAACTTCTTCCTTGTCACCAGAAGGTTGTCATTTGGCGGTACGGGTAACAGGATGACACCAGTCTAGGAGAGAGGCAGAATCGCCCGTCGTTGGTTCACTTTCTTGGTCCCGTGATGCAATGTAAACACACTCAGGAGATTTTTTTTAACTTGCTCCGTCGAGGAAAGCTGTGTGGGGGAGCTATTGTGACCTCTAGTGCCTATTGTGCCTCAAAGTGTTTAGTGCTCGTTGGCTATCAAAACAGTGTCTCATAACACTGAAACCACTGAATTCATCTTTCATCTTATTTTTTTCCGGTCCAAGAATTCGTGACTTCTTTTGTCGGCGACTCTACCGTCGAAGCTACCTTCGTGAATGCTACTTCGATGTCATCACCAGAGACCATCGCTGTGAGAGTCATCTTTCGCCGGTAGTGCTGAGCGGGGCCCTTTGGCCATTCGTGTTCCAAAATGAGTGCACAAGACCGGTGGATTTTCACCAAGGAGCAGCTGCGGCGGGTCCCGAGTATCACAGAGTCTAATATGTCAGTCGAAAACGAACTGTTGAATAGACAACAAGCCGCCAAGTTGTGTCAAGAAATGGGACAGAAACTAAAAGTGTTAGTTAACCAGTTCTACGATATACAATCGGTATATTAAATTTTTTTCTACTGACAGTTCGCAGTGGGTGATAAACACAGGAATCACGTTTTTACATCGTTTCTACTGCAGGTAGTACCCCAAAACCCTTAAAACACTACAGTTTCTTAGATTTGTTTTTTTCAGACATTCATTCGCCAAGTACCCATTTAAGGTAAGTCAATTTTCAAAATTGGTCAACGTTTTACAATCCAGGGGTATTGTTGTAAAATCAATATTGTGAGCTAGCAGGGGGCTCCGCCCCCTGCACCCCTCTTCTGGGAGAGCCTCTAGGCCCCCAAACCCCCCTAAATTACTTTAATTAACGTTAAAAATGTGATGGAAATGATTTTGACTTGATTTTTCATAGACGATGGCGCCCACGTCGCTGTTCTTAGCAGCTAAAGTAGAAGAACAACCGCGAAAACTGGAACATATAATTAAGGTTTCTCAGATTTGTATCT